TTTAGCGATTCAAATGGCCGACTGGCAGCCATCTTGTTTTTTGAAAATGTTGTATTTTGGATATGCTTTGTCAGTTGTCATTCAAACTTGGTACATAGATTATACATGTTAGGATACATGTCCATGACGATTTATTTCGCAATTGGATCAAAGATGGTGGACTGGCAGGCATCTTGTTTTTGTTTTTTTATGCGGTATCTTGGACGTGCTCTGTCAGTTTTCATTCAAATTTGGCACATACATGTACTTTATACATGTTAGGATGCATGTCCATGACAATTTGTTTCAAAGGATGGCCGATTGACAGCCATCTGACTTTTTGGCCTTACTACTATATTTCCACAATTTATGTACCATTTGCATTTGTATTTGGCACATACATCATACATAGTGTGTTTCATGATCAGATCAAAGATGGCTGAATAACGGCTGTTTTTATTTTGGCCATATTACTATGACACGAAACGCGTGTTTTGATATAAATAAACAATCTGTTGTATACGCCACTTGGAACTGAAGTTTCAAGGACATGCTCCCGACAACCCCTCCGCTTTAATATGACAAGCACAAAGAGAACTTAATGGGGACTGTGTCATTTTCAATGACTTGTTAGTAAATGATCTGTGGGAAAACTGCACTTACAATTTGTGAACATTTAACTTGTCAAGTATTCACATTTTTATTCTTAATGTTTTGGAATTGTTTTAGTTGGTTGTAACTTTGAACACCTCACATGCTGATGTTAAGGGTGAAGCTACATTGTTGGTGAGGGCGCTGTTCAATTTGAATGATGCACTGTTCGGAATAAAACAGTGTATTGGTTGCCAACCATTTAATATACATTTTGTACAATCATGAAAAAGCAAGTGTTTTCATGTAGGTAACAAATTTGACAAGCTAGATACTCCAGGGGCACTTAAACTCTGTTCGCATATTGCAACACAAAAATACATATTATGGGTAGTTTTCAAACAGTCTACCTACGTATAGTGTTTAGAATTATTGAAATAATAAAAATCAAAATAAGGGTATATTTTTTAGAAACAGTATACCAGGTAATAAATATAAAGGTTATTTTCTGATCTTTTTTTTTTTTTTTTTTTCGTAAATCGTCGAACCGGGTTGCAAATCTCTGGGGTGAATCTATCATGCATGTCCAGAATTCCAGGGAATTGTCACACTTTTTTCCCCGTATGCACTTAGAGGATTCTTTTGAAAAGCCATGTTTGAGCATGTTTACTTGTGCTCTGATTTGAGTGCCCCTGGGGCTAGATACCTACTATAAAATACTTTATTTTAGCTGGAATTAATTTTTGCTGAAAAGCCTTTTTGGGTGTTTTGTATGGAATTTATTTTTACTGATTTTTGCCTAGATGAATGTAAAATATAGAAAAAAAAAGGGATATTGGCTGGATTTTATTTTCACTGAATCATTCGTTCAGCGAAAATAGCGAAAATTAATTCCAAGTGAAAGTAAAGTATCTTACTGTATCTACTGTTGTCTCAAAGTTGCATTTCCACATTGTTTTATTTGCAGAATACCTCCTACTAATTATTGTGATCGCCATAGGAAACAATAAAATCTATTGGTATGGCCACAAACTCTGAAATGACCTGCATTGAAGTTTGTTTTGTTTAATTACCAAATTCAATCAACTAGAAGACAGACACTGTGATCATTTTGTCAAGTAATCAAAGAAAGAAATGTATGAAGAAGCTGAAAATAAAAACAAAAGCTGAGAATAAATGTATTGCATTGTCCAAATTTATATATATTTATAAAAAAATAACTTTTATGTGAGACTGCAATACCTCTCGTCAGAATAGCATTATTCTCTTTTCATGTTTTTTTTCCCTTACAGGCAGAATTAAAATTTTTATAGGCATTCTATTTTTTAATTTTTTAGGATTGCATTACTGCGATTATCCGTAATTTAGCAAAATAACCTTATAGACACAATAGTGATATCATACTGATAACAGTTCAAGATCACGAAAACAAATGAAATGTAATTATGAACTGTGGTGGCGTCATTTGAAACGAAGAAATAACAAACAAACACTCGCGAGCGGCCATTACTATACTGAAACAGAAAACATGCCGGCGGAAAACTTAGAAGAAGAGGGATTGGAGAAAAACCCCGATCTACGTCTCTCGCAGTTAAAATTCTTGCTCAGTTTACCGGACTACAAAAACGATGCGTCTGTTAAGAAGAAACTCATCGATGGAATTCAGGCTAATAGTAAGTTTATCGTGCAAAATCAAATCGATGTACTTCAAGTTCTCAATAATTTGCTTTTGCACTGTCATGCCTGTTGGTCCCATACAGTCAGGACATCGCGTCACTTATATATAAATTTTGCACAAGACCAGTTAGTCGTGTTTCCAATACTGTCTTATATGAAAAAAGTTGTATATCTTGTTTTGTTTTTCTAAATTGGACATAAAATTCACAGTAAACCAATTATGTCATTGCTAACACAAAAGTATTGTTTGTTTGTTTTTATCTCTGGCTTTTGAACATATTCCCGACAGTTTATTCATTCTGTGGAAACACACAACAGATAATTTAACTATCCTATTTCAAATTATTGCATTCTTTGTTTCACAATCTTTGTATTAGCCATCAAAAAAGAATTGTATTCAACTTGATTATTCAGTAAAATTGCATAATCAACACCATAGAAATGTTTCACCAGACTTCTGGGCATGCAAGTTTTTTACCAGTCCGATTGGACAATAATTTCAAACACTGATTGTGAAATGCTGTATATCAATTTTCTCATTTTCACTTTCTCCATCACTATGGTATAATGCATTTATTGATAAACGTAGTATGCAGTGTATCAACACTCACTAGCTACTTTATACTTGTTACCTTCTAGTCATAATTCTGTCGCTACCTACTATTTTGTAATAACCTTTTACCATAAAATCTGCATTGAAAGCAGCATTTCTAATTGAGACTGCCTCCATTCTTTTGGCAAATGAGAACTAAATTCACCCTTTCTCATGTGTGTAAATGCTCTAACTTTTTCACCACCAGTTCGCCTCTTGTCTTCACAAAATAGTCTTGTATATAGTCTGCCCTTTTCGTCAGAAGATTTGGATAAAAATGGGCAAATTTTTTGAATAAAAACTGAAAATTGACTCAAATTTTGTCTGTTGGCTCCTAAATTAAGGTTTATTTCTAGGAATAATGAAGAATATTAGAAAAACTGGCAGAAAAATTTGTGCAAGAAAGTCTGGTGGTGAAATGGTTAATTGAGGCTGCATCCCCTCTGTTGCATCGTACCAAACTGGCGTCTAATACAGATTTCACAGCACTAAACCTAATGATTAGATGTTTGATATTGACTATGATAGCATACATCTTTGACACATACACTCATTACTTTAGATATGGCACCATTCTATGAGGAAGTCTGTAACGATCTAGGGTGGAAAGTAGATCAGAAGTTATTAAAGCAAATGAAAGACTCAAATGCTACCAAGCTAAAAGAACTACAGACCACATTAGAAGATGCTGAGCAGAATCTGGGGGAAACTGAAGTGAGAGATGCCTTTTTAGCTCAAGCAGAATTCCATTGTCGCATTGGTGACAAGGTATGTGCATGATACTATATCTTTACACAAGATGCAGTGAAATGGTGTGCATAAAGTCATAATGAACACTGACATCAATACACATGTACATAGGAATACAATTACTAGAAATATTGGAATGTTTCAGATGAAACAAGCCATCGGTTTTCACCCATTATCACATCTGCTGCAGTAAAGGTTTCACCCTTGTAAATCACTGCTTTATTCAAATACTTGTAAATACAACAATAAAATCAATGTTGGCCTTTGCAGTCAGACCGAAAAAAAGTCCAGCAAAATAACATTTCACTTTTTGAACTGCAACACCTACTGACAACCTAAAAATCTCATTCTCTATTTTGGAAAACATTGAATAATAATGCATATTTTGGTTTGAGTGTCCTTCTCATCCATCCATCCATTTTAAATAGGATACACCTTTTTTTAACATGATGAAATTATAGGTAAAAAAAAACCGTATATACACTATGTGTGTGGGTGTAGCTGTTTGTGCTCATTTGATTGTGCCCCATCTAAGAGTCTTTGTGTTCTTCAAATTAAAGTGCCTGTGCAATGCCCACCCTCACGTTTCCCATTTTAGATCTGTGTCCCACTGAAATGGGCAGTTATTGATTTTTTTGCTGAAAATGATTACTCGTATCCAAGTAAATTTGGGATATTTCTAGTGTTGTAGCCACGCCCACCTATCCTGAAACGGTCGACTGTTTCCGGATTTCCGACTCTCGCCGAAAGTGAGCCACCAAATGACAAAATGTGAGAGGAAGTCATACCCCTGAGCCGTAATAACACTGGTCATTCAGTATACTTTTAAACGATATACATTTTTTCGGTTGGCGTTCTTTTTCTTTTTTTGTTTATTTTATTTTTTTTTTGAGTGAGAGTTTTTAGATGTTGTGTTGTGGGCAGTTGAAGTGAAACGTATAGTCATAGTGTATGTATTCACATGTTTCTAATTGATCCGAAGGTGTGACATCAGTGGACGAAAACCACTTAATCTCAGATTCTTTTTTTTGTTGAAAAAACTGCCCTCGTCCATGAAAAAAAAACTAGGTTTAAAGGAAAACGCCGACAACGTAAACCTGTCGCAACACTTTTGAAAGAAATAGATTCCGGACAAGTCCATTATCACCGAGGCGGATTTCAGAAGAGAGAGAGACGTCCGGCAAGTGTTTCAAATGAATTGACTTTTTTTGCGATTGTGAGTATCGTTTTATAGAGACTATTTAGTTAAGTAAAAGTTAGCAATAATTTAGACAGTGACACGAAAACGAAGCGTCGGACAAACAGGAAATTACACAGCCCTACGCTCTGCTAATTGTTTCCATTTTCGAAGGCTAAATGTTTCTGAATTGTTTGGGTATTGGTGTTGAATGTCGAATTCATACCTCTGTTCTTTTTTTACCTCCATGCTTGCAGATGTTTTTCCACCAAATAAAGTTTTAATATGTTATAATTATGACAATCACGCCATGGATCACGCTAACTCAAATCCACTCTGAATTTATCTGTATATGTGTTGATCTCGATTATTTTTGTTATCCAATTAAACGCCACTTTTAACGCACTTGCCCTCGTCGTGACCCGACGCGTTCACCTATTTCAACAAAATGTCAATTTATTTCTACTCGGCTGTCATTTATTTAGTAACTGTGATTTGTCGTTTTTTCAATTATTTTATAGTGATCACTATAGTCTAATGTTTAGAATGTCAAAATATGTTCTTTTTTATTTTAATTTTGAAAGTTTTACTCAGACGATCGATGAAATAAAACAGTGTAGTGACGTGCCTAGTAACCTGCTAAATAACGACGTCAAATTCTATTTTGTTCAGCGACAGTGTACAAACGTGTGCCGGTGTCGGTGACGATCACGGTGACCAGCTACAACAGAACGGACATATTTCGCATCTAACTCAACCCCATGCAACAAAAATTGATACTATGTGTTCATTATGGTCCATTCTTCCTCGACAAACAAGTACATAAGTGACATTTTAGTCAAAGACGAAAAAACTGCACAAGTAATTTGCCTTATTTACACGTATCGGCAATGCAAGCTGCCATGCGATTTCCCCTTCTGACATCACAAGGGGAATTTATGTATGCAAATGAGAAGCTAATGAGGAGCCTCGTTTTTAAATACACAAAAATAAAGTTGCCATAGACTGAGTTTAAAACATATTTTTTCACTTAAAAAAAAATAATTCATGCTTAAAAACATAAAAAATAATAATATTTGTGTATCAATGGATAAGCGTGAAAATAGCAGCCATTTCACAGGCACTTTAATTTTATACTGTACATGTAATTCATTCTGTTTTGCGAGAGTTATAAATATTTTTGAATTTGTTATTCAGGGGAAACTGCAATATGTTGTATGAGTGAACATTTCTATCTGGCTTCCATAAATAGAGATGGCTGTATTGTAAAATATTGTTTCAAATATTATTTCAATAAGACGATCAAAGATGTTAAGATATGAAGGTCATCAAAAGTGCTGTATCACTACAACTCACTTGTTGTGAACTACTGTGATTTATTAGAATTTTATTCAAGTATATAATGAATATTATTCAAACGTGAATCAAAATTAAAAAATATTCAACTGTTTGGATGGCGCTATGAGTCCTATATCGAACAGGACGCGGCACGATGACTGTCGTCCTTTAAGGTTAATAGACCCGAAGTAACGAGCAACACACTCACTGCTCACTGTGGTATGGACACATCAAGTCTTACAGAAGTTTTGTGGGCAATGAAATACGTTAATTCACACTACAGTTATAAAAGTTGTGATGATTTGGACAGTTTTTTCGAAGGATGTTTCCAGATAGTAATATAGCAAAGAAATTCACTTCACGAGTTTTTGTCAAATTGGCTGATGTAATAGTAACATGGTTGACACACCATAACTGTCCAGTTACATTCACTACTATGATATTAATTAGAAATGTCAGAACTTGCAGTTTGTTTCGCTCATTATTTATGTTTCCTGGTCAACTTAAGTAAATAAATTTGATAAAGTTTATATTGTAGTATTTACTTTCTGTGTATATAATAAAGAATGTCGGTATTGACTTTGGTTTAAACTTAAATGAGTATTCCACTGAAATGCTTTATATCGACTATATTTCCCTACAAAATTGGCCTGGAATAGCCTGGATTTTTCATCAATATTGGGCCTGGAATAGCATGGAATTTTATCATCTCTGGGGTGTACGAACCCTGTCACCGGTATTTTGCCTTGTAAATGACACGCCAGTGTGATGATAGTGTGTAATAGTAGTAATATTCCAAGCTGTCAAGAATGTTGGCCATGTTTGTACTGCAGTGTGTCCATACATGCAAGTGGTACGTTCCATGTATATGTGCCAAATGTTTTTATTTTAGCCCACTGTATGGTGTTGTGATTTGTAGGACCAGTCTTTCACAGACACCATGTGTAAAACAGCGAATCAGTGACTATCACAAAATGTTGTCTCCCACAAATATAAAAATCTGAATTTAATCAGTTCCAAGTTTATTTCCAAAATTTTGTTCTGCCAATTAACCATTTATTGATTCTTTGAACAGGAAGCTTGTTTGTCAACATTTAGAAAAGCATTTGAAAAGACTGTGGCATTAGGACATAGACTGGATATTATATTTCATCTTATCAGAGTTGGGTTGTTCTACATGGACAATGATCTTATAACAAGAAATATTGCCAAAGCAAAAGAGTAAGTATCCCAAAGTGCAAGGTTTTCACTTGCAATTTGTAGACACTTAGGAGAGTGTAGGTCATTTGCATCATACATGTACTACTATTTATTTTGAATCTTGTTAACATATATAATCAACATAGTAATAACTGCTAGTGAAAGTTTAAGTACATTGTATAGCATTTCATTGATGAAACCACAATGCTTAAAAAAAAGAACATTGTACGTTATTATGAAAGGAATGCTAAGCCACTCTTCAGATTTGAATGTACCAACTCACAACGCAGAAAACCTTACATAAAGATATTGTGAAAGTATCGCCCTAAAGGAATTATTTTTTGTTTTTCAAATTGTCAGTATTTAATAATTAAAATCCATAATAAAGGTTTAGGAATGTACTAAAACTTTATAAAAATGTCATTGTTATATGTGCTCTTATGTTAAATAAGCACTTTGAGCAACAGACCACATTTTACCATGGTTACAAAACTAATGCTTGTGACTCTATGGAAAAATTACTAGAAATTTAAAGCCTTTTCGAATTTCTAAATAATGAATCAATTTTTTGGCAACAATTTTAATTACATTATAGAAAAGTTCTAAATGAATGAAACATCTGGAAGTTTATGAACTGGAATCGTGCATACAACATTCAGAACATTCAAAAACTAATTTACATGAATGGTTAGAATAATCCATAATATGTAAATATTTCTGAGCAGTGTTTGTGAAACTGAATATATTTATGCATTGTTCATTTCATACAGACACATGATTTCAGTTTGATGAATGTGTATTAAATATATGTGGTGATAACTCCTTTATTCTGGTCAACAACCATAACATGCAACCATGTTTTTTGCAATTCCAAATTGTTGTATTTCAGCTGAAACAAATCAAATGATATTTTAAGATAAAGGAGATATATTTTTATACTGAGTGTTTATGACTTGCTGTTACATGACTGGCACCAGGCTGTTTTTTAACAAGGAGATTAAATGTATACATGTATAAACTGCCAGCCTGTGTTGAGAGTGCTTATGAAATCTATCTCCTACTTATATTGTGTCACGACTAATGTTTGCACGATTGTGTCACGATTAGTGTTTGGTAATTGCCCTGGGCGATTTCTCAGCTAGTTGTCAAAAAAAAAAAAAAAAAAAATGTTTTGGGACCTCAACTTTCAACGCAGACAGTTGGACCCCACCCCAGACGAAATAAACTATTGCAGAAGCTAATCTAAAATTTGATACATTTTTTTTCTTGTTGCTACAAGATGCTGAATTAAAAAATAGACCACCGAAAATGTCATTACAATGTCACCCAGTGTCATTTTTCTCCCCAAGAATGCCAAATACAATTTTTTTTTTAATTTTATTGGTAACGAAAGTATATTTTAAAAGAAGTTCCAAATAAAAACAAACATTTATTAGTCATTGTGACATAACATCCCAGGTACTTAAAACTATCCACAGCCTTAACAGGAGTATCCTCCAGCATGATCACTGTGTCCACATCTCCAATCCCCATAGCTTTGGTTTTGGGGCGCGAGACTGTCTGGCCAACCTCTTCGCCAGATTTCCCCAGGTTGTGGAGTGATCTGTTGCCTCTTGCGGACTTGGATTCGAGCAAGGCGTCATCATCTGCAAAATCCAAAATGCTGTAGGATATCCGTAATTTTTTTTCTCTTGCAAAAGTTGATCGCTAATTAATTAATCAAAATGATGGATGATGGCAACATGTATAAATTACCATAGCCATTTAAGTATGTTCATCAACACGGGAGTGATTTGCCAATGTTGTAGTACAATCTATTTGGATTTTGATGGGGAAACTGGCAATGATTTTTTAAATCAAAAAATTAGTTGTTTTCAAAAGATAAACTTAGCAATTGAAGAATAATATAACATTGTTTACAGTGATAACAGCTCATATTCAAAACGAAGCTTCTCAATTCACACTAGTAACTACAGTTTGTATAAACATAATACTCTTGAATAGGCATCAATGACTGTGATAAAACTTAAATAAGACTCTATTTTTCGGTGTCAAGAAGGATTGAAATGCCAAAAAAACGGCCCAGGGCGAATTCACGACAGACTCCGGTATCATAGATGACAGAGTGTTGCTTTTCATATAAAGTGATTGTCCATCTGCAATCTATCAACAATTAACAGCTCAATTGCTTTGATACTTGGTGTGTAGGTCTTCAAATTTGTTCATTTTGTGACGATATATCACTTATTTTCACAAATATCTTTGGAACAAAATGAAAACTATCAACATGATTGATTTAGTATTTGTGAACAATTTCTTTGAAATTTAGGTTGGCATGTTTTTAATAGGCAGAATTTAACTACATTTTAGGGATTAAGGTAGAAGCCTTCTCATATTTTTTGAGAAAGTTGGTCATAAATCGCATGACAATGTTCATTGGTTTATTATGTAAAATCATGGAGCTATTGGCCCATGGCACCATGAAAATAGCATTCTATTGTGTGTTACAGTGACGTATTTTGAGAAACTTGTACTACATTTTTTCAAAAATAGCTATTTTTAGAACAATTCCATAGAGCGCAATGTTAAACAAAAATTGCATTTTTCAACACTTTTTAAAACCCAGATTTTTGAAAAAATTCAGGAAAACAAAAAGTAGGCCATCATTAACAATATATTATTTTTTCAGCCTATGTCACCAGCCTACAATTTGAGATATTGGCATAATATCTCTGCCATAGGAACCTATGGTAAAAGCACTATAATACTGCCAAAATGGCCGCTATCCACTAAAATACAACCATGATTTTCTTGAAAATTAACTTGGTGACCCCCATTTTTTTTCAAAGTCAATATTCTTGTATTGCCTGGAAGTACAATATATTAAAAAATTAAGAAATTCTGGGTTTCTAACTTAACTGTGTTTTGTGTGCAGAACACTCGTTGTAGTTAGCAGGCATTGTGTCCTGTAATTAAAAAATTACTTAATTAATAAATTTGTATTTACATACTGTTTCTTTCAAAATATGGCAGCCACTGAATATTGCGTATTCTGGTGTTGACTCGCTGATTGTCACAATATATTTGTTACTGGGTGATACGTGCACTGGTACTACAGGGATTTTAAACTTTTATCAGAAGTGTTGCAAATATTAAATGAACTTTCCTTCTTGAATAGTGTCATTTCACAATCCTTCTTATGTTTTATGTGTTACAGTATGATTGAAGAAGGAGGAGACTGGGATAGACGCAATCGCTTGAAGGTTTACCAAGGAGTATATTCCATGGCTATACGTGATTTTAAAAATGCTGCCAACTATTTTCTCGACACAGTCTCAACATTCACATCATACGAGTTAATGGAATATACAACATTTGTCACTCATACTGTATTGGTATCGATGTATTCGCTGGATAGAACCGATCTCAGACAAAAGGTAAGTATTTTCTATACACTTCAAAAGTGTAATCAAATCTGTCTGTTGCCAGAACCAATCAGATTTAAACTAAAGACATGCATCTTAGCATTCATATGCATGTGTATTCGTTTGGTGATTTGATTCAAAATGTCCCAATGGCGGCCATTCCTGTCTTACCCTTGCCCAATTATTTCAAACTTCACACTTATGCACATGCTCTGGCACCAGCATTTTTTTCTTGATCTTGTGCCTAAAAATGTATCAAAATGCATCAATATAAAGCTGTGTTGTGTCAATGATTGTTGAAATTTAGTGCATGTGATAGTCATTTTTTTTAGTGGAATCCAAATTTGAATAGCCTGATGGTTTGCATATTTGACAATTAATTAAATTATTTTGTTTGTTACACGCAGGTTGTTAAGGGATCTGAAATATTAGAAGTTTTACACAGTCTGCCTGATATTAGAAACTTCTTATTTTCTTTATATGATTGTAGATATGGAGATTTCTTTGCGTCTCTTGGTAAGTGATACAAGTAATATATCTCAGATACAGTATAACAAATATAAATCATCCTGTTATATATAAATAGATGAGTGAAGGAAAACTTGATTGGCTGCACAGCATTATAATTACATAGGAAGATAACTCACAGGAAATGTAATAAAATGTATGAGAAAGTACCACTACTTACCAATCAAGAAAAAAAATAGCCTTGGAACCTTATCAATATGTGGCACGGAATAGCATGAAATATCTTTTCTCTGTAGTGTATGAACCCTTACTTTACTTTAATCAGTGTTTTATTATATTTGCAGCTAAAGTAGAAGAGATGTTAAAGTTTGACCGTTTGATGGCACCACACTATCGGTTTTATGTGCGTGAAATGAGAATCCTTGCATACACACAGTTACTAGAATCCTATAGAAGTTTAACACTACAATATATGGCTGATGCATTTGGTGTTAGTATTGAATTTATTGATCAGTAAGTAACTATGTATTCATTCATAATTAGTAATTGCCTAAATGTCATGGTTACTATCCTCTGGGTAGACATCCGGGTATTTTCATCACCTGGCAAACATCACAGTGAAAAACAAAGGCGGAAAAGTCTTAAAAAAACTGTACTTTTGGATGGTTGTTGAGACTCCTGAACAATGTAACAAAATTACCCCTACATGTACCTCAACTCATATATAAATTTAGTTGTTCAGGATAACTTTAAAGTTGAGTTTGCGCTGTTTCCTTGACTTTAGCTGTGTTCACCAACTCTTAACGGGCGTTCCACAGTAGCTTGAGCAGAGCTCATAGAAATTGTACACGCCTTAGCAATGTAAAACATTGTGCTCCACATCCAAAATACAAGGAGTCCCCATTGTGACTTGCATGCTTTGTAATACCACATTTAATTAACTCCAATAGGAAATATAGGAAAAAGGGTATATTCGTTGGATTTTCATTTCATC